TGGAAAGACTATGGCTATACTCTGACCACTCATAATTTTATGGCCATGGACAGGTTATGTGAATACCACTGGTTATCTAGTTACAATGGCATCTGAAAGTTGGTGTGATATATTAGGCATTAAGTAAACATGTTGTCCATGAAGTTGATGTGTTGAAATCAGAAAAATTGGGCATCACAGTTTGTTGCATATGGGTTTGTGTAGGTAGCTACAGGACTGTCAGGGTGCCCATACTGACCCGTATCCACAGCCAAAAGCACCTACAATGGGCACATGAGCATCAGAACTGGTCCACAGAACAATGGAGGAAGCTGGCCTGGTCTGAGGCATCACATTTGCTTCCTTAATATGCTGAATGCACTTGCATGGCCTACATGGGAAACAGACGGCACCAGGATGCAGTATGGGAAGAAGGCAAGCACACAGAGGCAGTTTGATACTTTGGGCAATGTTCTGCTGGGAAACCTTGGATCCTGCTATTCATGTGGATGTTACTTGATACGTACCACGTCTCTAAACATTTTTGCTGACCGTGTACACCTCTTCATGGAAACTGTATTCTCTGATGGTAGTGACCTCTTTCAGCCAGATAATATACCTTATGACACTACAAAAATGGTTCAAGAATGGTTTGAGGAAAGTGTGAGTTTGAACTGTTGACTTTGTCTCCAGATTCTCCAGATCTCAATCCATCAAGCATCTACTGGATGTGTTGAAATAACAAGTCTGATCTATGGAGGACTCACCTTACAGCTTATAGGACTTACGGGATCTGCAACTGATGACTTTGTGCCAGATACCACAACATACCTTTAGAGGTCTAGTGGAGTCCATGCCTAGACAGGTCAGGACAGATTTGGCAGCAATGGTTCTCACAGCTGTCTCTGAGCCAATGAGGAGGGAGGTAGCCAAGAGAGCTGCGGCTTTTGTGTACATCGTTGGATCGAGATCAGGCTCAGGTAAGTATAGAGTGTGCTGGGGGGGGGGGGGGGGGTTTGCTGCATGCAGAAGGTTTTTTACCCTAATGCAGAGAATGAATTAAGGTAGAAAATCTTCTGCCTTTAGAAGCACTTTAATGTTACGGTCCATAGATTCAGTACGGTGACTGAGTGTTGTCAGCCTAGGAGAAGAGGTGAAGAGGTGTGTTACTGGCAGAGGCACCAGGCAAATATAGAGAATAAAACTAAAAGAAAGAAGAAAACAAAAGCAGCCGCTGTAAGGACCTAATACATAATATATAACATTTTTTCTCTTGGGTTTAGATACACTATAGTGAGTACATGAATTGGGAACCTTTACATCCTCCACAATAAAACATTGGTTAAATATGATGAATTTCACTAATGCATATTAAAATACATTCATCACAATAATAGCAATCACAGCTGACAGGAAACTTGCACTATGCTGATTTTTTGGAAATTGCAAATCCTAAGTGGCTACTTAAGACAACATCAATGTTTTATAAAATGTTATTGAAGTCTGAAATCAGGGCAAGAATATTGATGTTCTCAGCCACCCATGGCCCATCTTCCTCAACAACATACCAGAAATGTCTTTTGTCTAAATTCCACAGTGTCTTGGCTGATAAACACCCCAATTACAGTTGTTTTTAAATCATGCTTCTAGGAGTTTCAGCATTAAAAGCTACAGTTTAACTTGGAGTATTTTAGGGTAAATGAGAAATGAAATTTCTACAGAGAATTGTGACTAATATATTTATAGTACATAATCATTGCATATGCTGCTTAAAATAAATATATGCTCTTGAACAATGTGTCCTCATTCAAACATGCAGGAAACACAAATTAAACAGAGCATTGAAGCAAACCTTGCATTAAAAGTCAGCTTGTTTTTTTAACCCCCCCCCCCCCCCCCCCCCCCCCCCCCCCCCCCCACCGCCCCCCCCCCCCCCCCCCAACCCAACTTAAAGAAACGCTGAGAAATATCTGAGGCTTTAGATAAAGGATGGATTTATAAAATGGAAGCTAACCGAGTGAGGCTAAGTAGTGAGACTGAGCTGTGTGAGTGCGGTGGATTTTTGCACTGGCAGGTCAAAGACTGAGACACAGCACCAGGGTGCAGGATGTGTGAAACATCTCCATATTTCAGTCTAATAGTATTTTAATATACTGATCCATGGCTGTGTTTACTTCATTTTAATCCTCACTTTAAGAGGAGAAAAATGACCCTTGCAGTGAGTCCCCGATATTGCAAGGGTTATATTATATTATGTTAAAATGCATGTTCATTTTCTTTTCCAAGTTTGTGTTCACATATGTGTATTTTTTAAATCATAGGGGTTGATTTACTAAAACTAGAGTGCAAAATCTGGTACAGTTATGCATAGAAATCAATCAGCTTCCAAGTTTTTTTATCAAAGCTTAATAGAACATGCCAAACTTACATTTTAGTAAATCAACCCCATAGTCTCTATCATTTTCATGTATGTCTTCCATCTGAAGTACATGGTTGCTCCTTCCAGTCACCTTTCTTCCTTGTTCTAAACTGACCACACAAAGCACAGAAGCTAATCTGTTTTTCCCTGGTCAGTTTTCATCCTTTGGCTAGCCATTCAGAGGTAAAGGTCACTGTGCAAACACACAGCATGCCTGTATTGGGTAGTCTGATCAGCCACCATGCCCTCTGACCAATTACAGCCTGCCTCTGGGACACACCCCGTGCTCAATAGCAGTCTGCATCTTGCCTCAGATTGAACAGACTATGGAATACAGGCACCCTGTGTGTCTGCACAGTGACCTGTAACCCCACCCCCGCTATCAGGAATAAGAGATGCATGATCACATAACAGAACCTTTGAAGATTGTGGAAATGTAATTTCTGAAACTAGCAAAAGCAGTTATGGTAATACAAAGAATTGCAGTTATGGTGCTTTCATAGTTATAACTGTATTTGAAAGTGTCTATAACATTGTATGTTCACATCTACTTTAAGTCAAGGGGCAAAGGAAGCAAGTGTAATACTTACTTTACTCCTTACTCTAGCAGGTTTCCTCCACATTGTCTGACTGGTTCTCTGATGATGCTCTGACTGGTGGTCACATGCTGATGTCACCAAATATAATGCAGGACCAGTAGTAGTTGTACATGAGGACAGCAAAAGCCCTCCCACAACCTGGAGTATCAAAGGGAAGAGGATAGCCTTACTCCTCAATCTCTAGACTTAAGGAGCATTTAACCCTTTGCAGTATGGGGGGCCAGTATTTCAGCAATCCTGGAGTTCAGTTCTAGCAGTATTTTTGGAAACATGCTTTCTCCTACTTTCATTGTTTAAATATTGAATTATATATCTAATATGTCACAACGTTTGTGTACTGATTGAGCATCACAAACTAAAAATGCAATTTAATTCATTTTTAATAGTCAAAGCAACTCCCCCATCAATTTAATTTCTCCATTCTTTATTTTGCTGAGAAATCACTTTAAAAAAACACCCCCTAGCATTTCTTCGTGTGACCATCTTGAGTAAGGGCAGATGATTCATGTAACTTTTACTTCCTGGAATCCATCTGCCCTTAGCTCAGGTATGCAGGCAGAAGGGTGTGCTTAACTGAGAAAAGCCCTCCCCCCTCCTGAAGACACCTGGGATGTATGACATAATTTGCCTAGGCATGGAAAGCAAGAGGTAACTGAAAAAATTAAAAAAAAAATGTTTAAAACAAGTAAATATGATATACTTTATTATCGATTTACTAATGCTAGTAGCATAAGGATTAAAAATAGTCCACGTTGATTGAGAGGGTGAAGATTTGCTTTAATGTATCACATTCGCTTTTGTGCATCATGTATTTGTTGAATTATAAACAGAAACAGCAGCACTAAAAAATTATAGTGAATGTATGCATTCTTTTTTAAAGTATGTTTTTACAGCATTTTTTTACAGTATGTTGCATACTGTAAAAAAACTCAATATCATAAGTAAATCTACAAAACTTAAATTCAGAATCTGACACAGATTACGAAGACATCATTCTGTCGAAACGTGTGTGGCTTGTATGTGATGTCACATACGCATCATTACCAGCTTGAGTCTGTGTTTTTGTCACTTTAAGCTATCAGCCTGCTAAAGTTTTCTTTGCTGGTTTAATTTGTATTTATATATTGTGCAGCTTCAATGATATTGCTCTTATATTAATATAATAAATGGCAAGAGCTTTTTTAAATCTGGTTTATGGAGGTGTATTTTTCAATCCCACTGTGCCTTTGCATGGATGTCAATGAGAGTGCCTGAATCCCTGGTGGAGCCATTGGTGGATATTGTTATCAAGCGTGTTCTGACCATTTATAACGTAATGGTCCATCACATCTGATAAGAGGCATCGGTCTAACTGTATCACTGGGTGGTGAAATCTTCTATGGTGGATCACATCATGGTTTGTGTGGAACTTGCGGCCTGTTACCCACACTGAAGGACTGAATTGTTTTGGATATACCAAGTTTGCTTAGTTGAACTGGTTATAATTATATTTCTTTTGTCTAATTTTGTAATACAATTTTTGGTATGGATTCACATGGTCTGTTTTATGTATGTGTGCGAACATTTCTCTTCACTTCACTTATATTTGTTTGTGTCAGATTATGAATTTGACGTTTTTTAGGTTTATTTATAATATCGAGTTTATTTACCGTATGCCATATTCAATTATTTAATTTATTTGCACTGCTGTTTCTGTTTATTCTTCCTTTCAACTAGTATCAGAGTTGTCCAGCGGCTGCTCAGCTTTATCATTATTTATGACTTAGCGGCGATATAATTTATTTTCATTATTTATTGAATTAATAAATGTATCATTATGGTAACTGCAAACCTTTTATTACATCCACCTCCTTTCTCTATTCATACACATATTAAAGAAAATATTGCACTTTGTACGGCTATAACATTAGTACAATCAATGTGTTGGGGATTGTATAAAACAAAAATACCAAAACAGTTACCAGACGATGCTTTAATTAAAATAATTCATTTCACTCTTCTGTTTTCCTCTAGTCCTTCAACTGAGAATGCAGCATCGGCGTTCACAAGAGCAAATGTCTGAACGAAACTTGATCCCACGTAAGTTGTTAGTGACAAACTAATTCGTAGCACTGTACATACCACGCATGCTTTCCCTTGGTAAAATATCCACAAATATGTTGAGAACACAGTAAAGTGTACGTCAGGGAAGGAAAAAAAACAGATGCAGTGCATCTCTGTGATGCATGCACATTTCTTCATGTTTTATCTTTTTAACCACTTCAGTACCACACCCTTTCATACCCTTTCTGCCCAGGCTAGTTTTCAGCTTTCGCTGTCACACATTGAATGACAATTGCGCGGTCGTGCAACACTGTATTCAAATTAAATTTTTATCATTTTTTTAGAGAGATTTCTTTTGGTGGTATTTAATCACCACTGGGTTTTTTTATTTTTTGATAAATGTAAAAAGCCCATATACATTTTATATATATATATATATATATATATATATATATATATATACACACACACACAGGTGAAACTCGAAAAATTAGAATATCGTGCCAAAGTTAATTTATTTCAGTAATGCAACTTAAAAGGTGAAACTAATATATGAGATAGACTCATTACATGCAAAGCAAGATAGTTCAAGCTGTGATTTGTCATAATTGTGATGATTATGGCTTACAGCTCATGAAAACCCCATGCTCACAATAACCCAGATCAGTGTATATTATTTAGTCTGTAGGAGAGCCCACAAACCGTGATATATACAGTGCTCAGCAAAAATGAGTACATCTCTTTTGAAAAGTAAGATTTTAATCAATATTTCAATGAACACAAGAACAATTTCCAAACTTTTGACAAAACGGAGTTTTATAGAACATTTGTTTAGCTCGTTACATGAAAGTAAGGTTAATAATATAACTTAGATTGCAAAATCTTCAGTTTTATTCAAAGTAGCTGATGCAAAAATTAATACACCCCACAGCAAAAACTACTACATCTAGTATTTTGTATGACCTCCATGATTTGTAGGGACGGCACCAAGTCTTCTAGGCATAGAATGAACAACTTGGCAACATATTGCAACATCTATCTTTTTCCATTCTTCAAGAACAACCTCTTTTAGAGCCTGGATGCTGGGTGGAGAGGGATGCTCAACTTGCCTCTTCAGAATTCCCCATAGGTGTTCAATTGGGTTCAGATCAGGAGATATACTTGACCACTGAATCACTTTCATCCTGTTCTTCTTCAGAAGTGCAACAGTGGCCTTAGATGTGTGTTTTGGATCATTGTCATGTTGGAAAACTGCACGACGACCAAGGGCACGGAGTGATGGTAGTATCATCTCCAAATGCAGCTCCCGACACCAGCAGCACTCATGCAACCCCACAGAAGTACACTGACACCATCATGTTTCATGGCAGTCACCATGCATTTTTCTTTGTAGTCCTCACCTTTGAGACTCCATACAGTTCTGAAGCCATCAGTTCCAAAAACATTTATCTTGGTCTGATCACTCCAGAGTTCAGAGTCCCAGTAGTCTTCTTCTTTTTCAACATGGACCCTGGCAAATTCTAGGTGGGCTTTTTTGGGCATGGGCTTTAGGAGAGGCTTCCTTCGTGGATGACACTCACACATGCCATTCCTCTGCAGTGTATGCCATACTGTGTCAAGGGAAACAATCACCACAGTTTGGCTTTCCACTTCTTTATCTAACTGCAGTGAACTTGCATGGCGATTTTCTTCAACCCTTCTCATCAGAAGACGCTCCTGTTGAGGTGTTAACTTGTGTGGATGGCCTGGATGTCTCTGCAAGACAGTTGCAGTTCCATCTTTGTTTTTCTTTCTCAGGTCTTGAGACATTTCTTTTCGTTAATTAGGATTTTGTTTTCTAAAATGTAGCTTTGCTCCTAAGACTTTCGTTGGAGTGTATTCATTTTAGCAACATGGTCTTAATGAATTTGTTAGAAAAAATATTTTTTTGTGTGTGCAAATTAACAAATAGTGTTTGCAATCAATGGACTGTATTTGTGGGAGTATTTTGTAGTATAGTGACCCATAGAAAATGTTGATTCTGAAAGGAAAGTAACTGTTTTCTGACAAATCTGTTGGGGTGTACTCATTTATGTTGAGCACTATACATTTTTTTTCACAATTTGTTTTTTTTAACATGCTGTCACCAGTGCAGTACAGCATCATCATATAACTGGTGTGACAGTGACAGGAGCAGACTGACCATTCGAGCACTCGGGCACTGCCCGAGGGCCTGGGGTCAGTAAGGGACCCCATGAGATGCCCCTGGTACCTTTCATAGGCTTTTTTGGGTGTGGTTTGAGTGTGGGCAAGGACACAAAGGCCCCTTGATTTCCTATTGCCCGGGAGCCCCATGAGTTGTCAGTCCAACCCTGGACAGTGATCAGGGACACTGACTGGTGACAGTATGTTAAAGGAAAAATATATATATATATATATATAATAATTTTTTTTGCAGTTCTTTTTTTTTTTATTATTATTAAACTTTTTTTTTTTTACTTTTTTCTTTTTTTTTTTTTTACATACTGTGAGCAGAACAGTCTGTTACCATAGTGACACTGTACTGTTCTGGGGAGGTGATGAGAGTTTTTTTTTACACATTCTGATTGCTTATAACAGTGATAATAACTGTTATAAGCAATCCATTTTTATGAATTGCATCCATTCATCCAGTGTGTACTATTGTGAAGCTGTAATTGACCACAGCTATCACATGGCACAGATGCACTGTGATTAGTCCTGTCTGTACCATGTGATTACTGTGACCAATCATAGAGATCAGCACAATAGTATACAGTGAATGTCTATGAATGAAAGCCATTTATTGTGTACAACTGTCATGTTATCTGCTTTAATTGGTCATAGAGATCACATGGTATCGGCAGCAGCCCGGTGCACTGTTTTGTCATTTGTTGTGTCTGCTGGACACAGCGTTGACAGATCGCACTGCAGCACAGTCTGTAAGGTGCGAGCGAGGCACGATCCTGGGATATGACGTCGACCCAGGATGGAAGCGCTCCTGCTCGGCCATCATTGTACTATAGGCCGGGCGGGAAATGGCTAAAAAACCCCTAAGTTCAGAAACATATGTGTTGGTTGGCCAGAAATACACTCTACTCCTAATTACTTATTGTGAGCTGACATCGCACAGCATTTTTGTGGTGTCAGCCCTTCTCCATTTTCTTTTATCAAACTACTTGGTCACTCCTTCTCTCCCATCTCCACAACATAAAGGCTAATCATATTGTAGTTCTAAGAGAAGGACTGGGAGGTCTGTGTACTTAAGATAACACAGGGACCAAGCACCTGACACGGGACAGCTCTGAACTGATGACATAATCAAAAAGTACTTTTTTCAATGTATTGAACAGGAATAACAGTTCACATAATCATCCAACTGAATATTTAGTGGTCCAAAAGCAAGCAAAAAAGAGAAACCAATTGTTGGGGATTGCATACACTTTTAACACTTGGGGGCTGAATACATACAGGCTATGGAAACTTTTAATTCAATCATGTATAAAATATAAAACATAAAAGATCAGTCACCTGTAAATGTATGTATTGGGCATTGCAAAATTAGACTTTAAAAGGACTACTAAACCCCTGAGCTGGTTTATGTAAAAGAGTTTCCTTTAATGCTTATGGATAGAAAAGGAATTTAGGCTGGCTGTACAAATTTGTGTAGCAGTATTGTACAGTAAATGGGCTCCAACACCCCAAACACGTTTGCTTACTCACATATGGGAGCTGTGTGTGTTGTGGTGCAGTGCACTGAAAAAAACAATGGTGCTTGTATTGCTCTGGCATCCCTTTCACACAACACAATAACGGGAGACGTGTGAAGGAGGCCTTGCATTAAAGCATTTCAGGGAAAGGTCATATTTTCAAACATATTTGATAAAAAAAAGCCACATTGAAGAATCTGTATATCTAATTCTAAAATCTGTCTCTATTCAAAACCTTTTTTTTTTTTTCGTTTTGGTTAGACTAGAGAAAGCTTATAGCTCTGTCAGGTTTTATTTCTGTCTGTACACCTATTTGGAGGATTTTCCTTGCTCTCCAACAGGGACGCAGACAAAGCACATTTTTGCTAGAAGTAGGAAAAGTTAGAACTTCTGCCAATGTTTTTATTTCTGCCAGTGTCTTCCTGTCCAGGGGACAACTGCATCCCCACCACACAGAAAAGTAGTGGGGCACCATCTCCTCCATGGGGCCACAGAAAGAATAAAAACCTGGTAAAAAGTGTATTCATGACTGTCCCCCTGGGTTACAACTTACCGTATATTATACTTAAATATAAATTAATTGAAAATTAAGCTCATAGGAAGTAAACATTAAAGAATTTAAATGGAATCTAAAATGGAATCTAAAACCAAAGTAAAAAATTTTATATATTGCAGCTTATTAAACCTTGGTGGGGCAGCAGCATTTGTTTTCTTTTTTTAAGCTTCTTTTGCTTTATTCTCTCCTGGTATCCACTGTATCTGTGGTTTTCACACTGAGCTGCTCTCCTAATATGGACTAGAAAAATATTATTTTTCCTTCACCTGCATTACATTGGTGGCAGGGCAATTGGTTATTTACAGAAGTTAGCTAGCAAGGAAGATATTCTTCTGTGCAACTCACAGGAAATGTCGATGACACTGCTTTTCTGACAAGACCAGTAGGTATTTTCTGTACTTGCTGAAAATGTTCTTAGCTTTAAAAAAATACTAATGTAGCCACCACGTCTAAGGAAGGTTTGGTGAAATGTAATACATTTTTTGTTCTTGAGTTTAGTTAACTTTTGCCCTTTGAAAGAATCATGTTTCATAAAATCCCTCTTGCTCCTGTTGGATCCAGAAACCATCCATCCAACAGCAGAATCCAGTAATGGAACCCATTTTACAGCAAAAGGTTTGATGGTGGTAAAACTCACCTTGTACCTGTCGGCAGTGTTACTGATTTAACACCTCACAAAATATTATTGAATAAGATTAATTGTACACAGAGCTTGACATTAAGTAACTTGGTTATTTTCTTTTCATAATTAACATAATATTATAATTGGAATACTGTTACCATGTTGTATTAAATAGCAAATTAATTTACCAATATGTAAGACGTAAGTTTTCACATTTGTTCAATATGTACTTTATCCTTAATAAACAGAATGCATTACAAATTAATTGGCAGACACAAGATCTAATGTATTCTTTCTATATTAAACTTCTAGCTGGAAATAAACCACATACAACTTTCCCAGAACAGAATGGCAACTTGGGACAAACAAAAGTAAGTACACCTCTCGTATGATCTTAAAATTCTTTTAAAGTAACTTTTAAAAGACTTTTAGATTCTTCAGTGTTGGTACAGGATGCCATGGTAAAACAATATCTAACTGAAATAATTTGTGTGAGATGTTCCTTAGAACCCTATCTTATCTCCCCCACAGACAGAAGACTTCATGAAGTGCAAGGCTCAGAACAAGCTCCACAAAGTGGCTGCAGTGAAGATGCCTTTTTGTGAAGGTTGGAATTGTTTATGTCCCTTTTGGGAGGTGGGTTTGTAATGTTATGCTTTCTAAGAACACCACTAAATGGTTATTTAAGTAGGAAGGTAAGGTGTGTATGGGGGTTACCTGAACCAACAATGTTCTCTTCTTTGCAACTTCTCTGCTTCTCCAGCAACTTCTCTGCTTTGAAGTTGGAAGTTTTCAACTTTAAAGTATTAGCTCTATAGGCTTTGGTGGCTTTAGCTGCAAACATATTGAGGAATACAGGGACATTAAAAGGAAAGTTTGTTTATTAAAAAAAAACAAACAAACATACATACTCACCTAGGTGGATGCAGCATTGATCCAATGCTGCATCGGTCATCTGTCACCTCTAAGACCAAGAACCAAGAGATCAAAGACCGCTGATCTCTCATGTTTCTATTAGCAGCCGCCAAACCCAGACACGTCCATTGGATTGCCAGACAGAAAAGCGTGATTCGTCACTCCAGAGAAAAAGTCTCCACTGCTCTAGAGTCCAGTGGCGGTGTGCTTTACACCACAACATCCGGCGCTTTGCATTTCACTTGGTGATGTAAGGCTTGGATGCAGCTGCTTGGCTATGGAAACCCATTCCATGAAGCTCTCTACAAACTGTTGTGCTAATCTGAAGGCCACACAAAGTTTGGAGGTCTTTAGCTATTTCGTGGCTGTTGTTCCCAGTTACTTCCACTTTGTTATAATACCACTAACAGTTGACCGTGGAATATTTAGTAGCAAGGAAATTTCATGGATGGACTTATTGCACAGGTGGCCACCTATCACGGTACCACGCTTGAATCCTGAGAGCTACCCATTCTTTCACAAATGTTTGCCGAAGCAGTCTGCATGCCTAGGTGCTTGATTTTATACACCTGTGGCCATAGAGGTGATTGGAACACCTGAATCCAATGATTTGGAGGGGTGTCACAATACTTTTGCCAATATAGTGTACATATGTATGAATTTCTCCATGTGGGGAGGGATGGGGGGTTGGGACCTGAAGAATGTGTAAACATCCCTTACTGGTTTCTATCTGTGTAGGTGGGTGGCATATGTAGTAATTCCTAGATGCATATGTTGCATTCATACACTAAAGGTGCTGTTGGTGGCACACAGCTTAGAAAAGGCTGGAAAACACAGGCATGTAATGATATTCAAGTTTAACATATAAATAACCCCGTGTCAGTGAATCTTTCTCTACCAGATCAGTATTAGTGGAAATTTCCTATAAGACTCACTTGAGTCTTCTATTTGGCTACATTGGCAGCTCTAGAATGTTTGAATTAAAGATATTTCCTCACTCTTTCTGTGTGTCTCAGTGACACCAGGACAAGAAATACAGGAACAGGTAACACCAGGACAAGAAATGAGGAGATGGGTAGAACCAGGACAAGAAATGAGGGAACAGGGGCATCAGGAGAAGAAATGAGGGAACAGGGGGCACCAGAGACAGGAAGACACAGAGAGAAATAAAAACTTGACCAAGGTCATACTGTTTCTGTCCTTATTGAAAGACAGAGATTTGTTATCACTTCCTGTCCCATTTTTCCTGTTGTTACTCAAACAAGATATGAGATAAGATTTATCCAAATGGGACACAGACTACAGTTATTATACAGGGTTAAATAGTGCTAACAATTTGAGAAGTGCTTTACAATATAAAGGGAGACAATATAATTACAGTACAGTTCAATGAAAAGGGATTAGAAGGGCCCTACACATGGAGCTTACAATTTATAGGGAGGGGGAGGTAATACAAAAGTTAAGTCGGAGTCTAGGATTACACCTAGCACCAATGGCATGCTCAGAAGGACCAGTGGTTGTGCTACTGATCTTGATGGTAAAGTCAGAGGGGAGGGGGGTTGCAGGATCTTGGAGGAGGAACTATTATGAGCTCACTTTTAGACAGAATAAGTGTGAGGGAATGGTGTGACATCCATACTGGTGTCAGGGATCCCCGCGGCGCTGGTCCCGGCTCAGGCGCAGTGCGCCGCTCTCTGCAGGAACGCGGGCACCAGTTCCTGGCCGACCGCGGCATTCAGGCTTGCACATGCGCAGTAGGAACCGCGGTCGCGCGCCGGGCACCAATGACAGCGCAGGGCGCGATATTTAAACGGCCCTGAGCTGTCATTCAGTGCCTTCTGGTCTCTTCTGCATACCTGTACCTGTGATCCTGTTTCCTGTAAGTTGCTGACCCAGATTGGACCTGACCCTTGCTGTATTCTCCCACTCTGACCCCTGGCTTGCCTGACCTCTCTCCTGGATGCCCCTTACTAGATCTGACCTCCTGTTGCTGACCTGGCGTGTGACCCGACTATTCTCTGCCCGCTGCTTTGTACCGCACCGACCCCACTGTTACCGACCCGGCTTGTCTGACCTTGCACCTGCTCATCCATCCATCATCCATCCCACCGGGGTCTCCCGACCTCCTGACATCAGGCTCTTCCCCGTGGGAGCCCCTGGCGAATACCCCTACCACTGACAGGCGTACTCAGGAGCCACGACCTGGTCTCAGGGTACTCCAAGTCCATCCCCACCATCAGGGGCTCTGGTGAACAAGTACCCTGGGGCTTAGACTCCGTGCCCTGGGAGCGCCTAATCAGTGGAGCGCTAGTGGTACCGCCAGGCGGTCCCTTACAACTGGTGTCACTCCGAAAATCTCTGTAAATGAGCGGTTACAACTCTTCCCCACTCTTCTCTAAAATAAAATGAGACGTTTTGGCAGAAGTTAGGAGTTAATGTGTTACATTAAAGTTTGTTTTTGTACTAGAACATGACTATTTAGTTTTAGCTGATTTATAGAACAAGCCAAAAGGAAATGTGTTATGTCTTATACTTGCTGTATAGATGGCCTAGCCGAATCAGATGAACTTAAGGAGAAGAAAGCTCGGCTGGCTGAAGATCTAAATGAAAAGATACTACATCGGCCAGGACCTCTGGAGCTGGTGAAGAAGAACATCCTTCCACTACCTGCCAACGTGAAAGATGGAATAAAGGGTGAGGTAGTACTCTTATAAACAGACGGTAATAAGCACTGTGATTTCAGCACAGCATTTCCTAATGCAGGATAACAGTATTAAGCCACTGCCTTGGAATTAGCAGCATTGTTGTCAGCCTGCTCTGTGCACTCCTTCAGTTGACCATTGGACTGCCTATTGGATCTATCAGATGGGCAATCCAATGGTCAATTGAAGGAGTGCACATTGCAGGCTGACAATGCCGCCACTAATTGAGAGGCAGTTTGCATGGTATTGTGAGCCAGCTTTAGGAAGTGCTTTTACTGGCACTATCTTCAGGTAAGAAATGTTACAACAGATTCCAAAAAAAATATTTGCTTAAGAAAATTGTGTACAGGGAAATAAGAAATAAAAAATAACAAAAAAGTAAACGTTGAGTTTACATACATTTCAATATTCAATCTCTGCATTATCACACTTTAATATGTAGTTCCAAAAAAATTACTGAAGACAATGGTGCCATTGTCACTGCAGCACAAAAAAAGAAAAAATAGCACAAAGTATAGGTTAAACGTATTCATGTTTAAAGGGGTGGGGAAGGGTTAGAGCCTTGATTTCTGTTTTTTATTGTCTTCTATGTGTTTGATCTGAAGACTCTCCAATCTCTTCAATAGGGGCACAGAAAAAAACAAAACAAGAACACATATATGTACAATGAGGAAGAACAGCTAAAATGTTTGTGTTGCTGTTTCTTATCCCCCTTTTTGTTGTAAGAATGACACATGGAAGGGAAGTCAGGGAAAATCTCCCATGTGCGGCCACAAACAGTAATAAAGACCTTAAAGAAACTTAATACTCTTCCCACTCTATCTAAAACAAAAAAAAAAAGTTTTTAGATTGAATTAAGGTATTAACCTGACATTTATTGCATAATTGTCAAATGACTTAAAAGATAGCTTTTGATAAACATGTAGGTCTGTCTCTAACTGCCTTTGATCTTTAATGTGCTTTTTCTTTTTCCTCCATTAGATCAGATCACAATCTCTCCTTCTTCTGATGCCTTTTCTTTTGATGATGACATCACTAGTTCTTCCTCTTCTTCTACTTCCTCCTCTCCTCGCTTTGCACCTTCTCCTGGTCTTTCAGTTAACTTGTCCCCAACATCTACCAACACTGCATTTCAGGTATGAGGAAAGACAAGTCTTCCACTACATATAATGCATGTAGCTACATATACTGTAGCTGCAGTAGATGTCTACATGCTGCAGTATTTCTCACTGCGGGGAGATTATTTTGTTTTGAGTTGTACTATGTATTACGACTAGATGCAAATACAGCTCACATCTATGATAATTTACATAATGTCCATTTCTTTTTCTTACCTGACCTAATAAACCACTGGTATGCCTATCATTTGGGCTCAAAGTATGATTGTATAGTGCTGTAAAACATAGTAGTTGTCAGTCGGCAGGTGGCCACATTCATCTGATAAAGGACTATATTCTTTGGCTGAGCATGTCAGTTTACAAATGAAAACATATCAGAATTTTCATACACCAAATTTCCTAAAAGACTGTAAAAGCAATTAAAAAAAAAAGTCCATATCTAAAATATATATAGAATTAAAAATAAAAACAGGATAAAGCAAGTTGCATTTTATATATATATATATATATATATATATATATATATATATATATATACAGTTGCAAGAAAAAGTATGTGAACCCCTTGGGATTACATGGAGTTTTGCATGAATTGGGCATAAAATGTGCTCTGAACGTCATCTAAGTCACAACAATAGAAGAACACAGTCTGCTGAACATAATACTACACAAACATTAGATGATACCATGGCTTAATTGCACATAACATGTAAACATTCACAGTGCAGGGAGGAAAAAGTATGTGAGGCCCTAGCTTAATGACTTCTCCCAGAGCTAATTGGAGCAGGAGTGAGCCAACCTTGACTCCAATCAGTATGATGATATTGGATGTGTTGCTGACAGCTGTCCTGCCCTTAAAAAACACACACCTGTTTTGGGTTTACTGGTTTCAAGAAGCACTGTCTGATGTGAACCAAGCCTTGCAGAAAAGAGTGCTCAGAAGACCTACGATCAAGAATTGTTGACTTGCATGAAGCTGGAAAGGGTTACAAAAGTATCTCCAAAAGCCTTGATGTTCAATACGTCCACGGTAAGACAGACTGTCTACAAATGGAGAACGTTTAGCACTGTTGCTACTCTCCCTAGGCTTGGTCGTCCTGTAAAAATGACTGCAAGAGCACAGCGCAGAATGCTGCATGAGGTAAAGAAGAATCCCAGAGTGTCAGCTAAAGACCTACAGAAATCTCTGGCACATGCTAACATTTATGTTGACACATCTACAATAAGGAAAACATTAAACAAGAATGGAGTACATGGGAGGACACCACGGAGGAAGCCATTGCTGTCCAAAAAGAATATTGCAGCACGTTTGAAGTTTGCAAAAGAGCACCTGGATATTCCACAGCACTACTGGCAAAATATACTGTGGACAAATGAAACCAAGATTGAGTTGTTTGGGAAAAACACACAACACTATGTGTGGAGAAAAAAAGGCACAGCACACCAACATCAAAACCTCATCCCCATTGTAAAACATGGCGGAGGGAGCATCATGGTTTGGGGCTGCTTTGCTGCCTCAGGGCCTGGACGGATTGTTGTCATTGATGGGAAAATGAATTCCAGAGTTTATCAAGACATTTTGCAGGAAAACGTACGACCATCTGTCCGCCAACTGAAGCTCCGCAGAGGATGGGTGATGCAACAGGACAATGACCCAAAGCATACAAGTAATTCAACAAAACAATGGCTGCAACAGCACTTAATACACCTTCTGGAGTGGCCCAGTCAGAGTCCTGACCTCAACCCGATTAAAAAGCTGTGGCATGACCTTAAGAGAGCGATTCACACCAGACATCCCAAGAATATTGCTACACTGAAACAGTTTTGTGAAGAGGAGTGGTCCAAAATTACTCCAGATCGTTGTGCAGGTCTGATCTGCAACTACAGGAAAGGTTTGGTTGAGGTTATTGCTGCCAAAGGAGGGTCAACCAGTTATTAAGTCCAAAGGTTCACATACTTTTTCCTCCCTGCACTGTGAATGTTTACATGTTATGTGCAATTAAACCATGGCAACATCTAATGTTTGTGTAGTATTATGTTCAGCAGACTGTGTTCTTCTATTGTTGTGACTTAGATGACGTTCAGAGCACATTTTATGCCCAATTCATGCAAAACTCCACGTAATCCCAAGGGTTCACATACTTTTTCTTGCAACTGTATATATATATACATACACTTTATTGCCAAAAGTATTGGGACGCCTGTCTTTACACACACATGAATGGCATCCCAGTCTTAATCCACAGGTTTCAATAAGGTTCAATATTGAGTTGGCCCGCCCATTCAATATTGAGTTGGCCCAACTTTATCCCTGATCTGTCTGTTGCGTTCCTTGGTCTTCATAATGCCGTTTGTTCACTAATGTTCTGTAACAAACCCTAAGGTATTCACAGAACAGCTGTATTTATACTGAATTAAAATTACACACAGGCGGACTATTTACTAATTAGGTGACTTCTGCAGGCAATTGGTTCCACTAGATTTTAGTTAGGGGCATCAGAGTAATGTGGGCTGAATACAAATGAACACCACACTTTTCAGATATATATTTGTAAAAAATTTTGAAAACCATTTATCATTTTCCTTCCAGTTCACAACTTTGTGTTGGTCTATCACATAAAATCCTAATAAAATACATTTACGCTTTTGGTTGTAACATGACAAAATGTGGAAAATGTAAAGGGGTATGAATACTTTTTCAAGGCACTGTGTATATATATATATAATTATTATTATTATACAGTATTTATATAGCGCCAAAGGGTTTGCTCAGCGCTGTACAATAGCGAGGGGGACAGGACATGAGACAAAACAGTAACAATACAATACACAAGGGGTTCGAGGGCCCTGCTCTTTAGAGCTTACAATCTAGGAGGGAGGGGATAGTGGTACAGGAGAAAGTGGATGTGGGGGATGGAGTGGTGGGAGAAGTGGAGGAGATCGGTTGTTAGGTGAGGGTGGGGTAGGCTTCCCTGAAGAGATGGGTTTTCAGGGTGCGCCTGAAAGTGAGGAGGGTAGGTGACAGTCTGATGGATTGGGGTAGGGAGTTCCAGAGGATGGAGGAAGTCCTGGAGAAGTCCTGCAGTCAGGCGTGGGAGGAGGAGACCAGGGAGCTAGAGAGTAGGAGGTCCTGTGAGGAGCGAAGGACATGGGTAGGGTGGTATTTGGGTATCGGGTCAGTTAGGTAGTTTAGGGCGGCGTTGTGAATGGCTTTGTAGGTCAGAGTTAGTAATTTGAAATGGGTGCGCTGGGCAATCGGGAGCCAGTGAAGGGATTGGCAGAGGGGGGTGGCAGACGTGTGGAGCGGTTGGTGAGGTGGATGAGTCTAGCCGCTGAGTTCAGGATAGACTGCAGTGGGGATAGCGTTTGTTTGGGTAGGCCAGTGAGAAGGGAGTTGCAGTAGTCCAGGTGTGAGATGATGAGGGAGTGTATGAGTTGTTTAGTAGTGTCTGGGGTGAGGAATGTACGTATCTTGGAGATGTTGCGGAGGTGGAGCCTGCATGACTTTGATAGTGATTGGACATGAGGTTGGAAGGAAAGGTTTGAGTCCAGGGTGACACCCAGGACTTTGGCGTGTGGGGTGGGATTGATGGTGGCATTGCTAGTAGTGATGGAGAGGATGGGGGGTGGGCGCGGGCTGGGGGGAAAACCAGGAGCTCGGTTTTGGAAAGGTTTAACTTGAGGAAATGGAGCGACATCCAGTCTGATATGTCGTTCAGGAGGTGGGCGATGCGGGCGGAGAGTGAGGGGGTGAGGTGGGGGGTGGAGAGGTAAATTTGTGTGTCGTCGGCATAGAGGTGATAGTTGAAGCCGTGGGAGTGTATCAATTTGCCAAGGGAGGAGGTGTAGATGGAGAAGAGGAGGGGTCCGAGGACGGAGCCTTGGGGGACTCCAACAGAGAGGGGAAGAGAGGGGGAGGTGGCAGCGTTATAGGTGACGCTGAAGGAGCGTTGGGATAGGTAGAATGAGAACCAGGAGAGAGCAGCGTCCCTGATGCCAAAGGAGTGCAGTTTAGTAAGGAGGAGGGGGTGGTCGACTGTGTCGAAGGCCGCCGAGAGGTCGAGGAGCAGGAGGACTGAGTAGTGGCCATTAGCTTTGGCGGTTAGCAGGTCGTTAGTGATTTTAAGTAGGGCAGTTTCGGTGGAGTGTAGAGGACGGAAGCCAGACTGTAGTGGATCAAGGAGGTTGTTATCAGTGAGGTGGGCGCTTAGCCGTTTGTAGGCCAAGCGCTCAAGGAGCTTGGAAGTGAATGGTAGCAGGGAGATGGGTCTAAGGTTGTTTAGGTCAGTGGGGTCAAGGGAGGGTTTTTTGAGTATGGGGGTGATGTGAGCATGCTTTAGGGGGGAGGGGAATGTGCCAGTAGAGAGGGTGAGATTGAAGATGTGGGTGAGGGAGCGAATAATGGAGGAGGGGGGTGACTGGAGGAGTTGTGAGGGGATAGGGTACAGGGGGCAAGTGGTGAGGCAGGCTTCAGTGAAGACCTTAGTGACCTCCTCAGTGGTAGCAGGGCTGAAGGAGCGGAGTGTTGGGGAGGTGATAGTGTGCGGGGCGTTAGGTATGGTGGGGGGGCAGTGCGGTTATGAGGTCAGAGGGGGAGAGTTGAGGGGGTGATGGAGGGAGGGGGGCTAGGTGGAGAGGTAGATTGTGAGTTGACAATGTCCTTACATACATACATACATACACTATATTACCAAAAGTATTGGGACGCCTGCCTTTACACGCACATGAACTTTGATGGCATCCCAGTCTTAGTCCATAGGGTTCCATATAGAGTTGGCCCACCCTTTGCAACTATAACAGTTTTAACTCTTCTGGGAAGGCTGTCCGCAAAGTTTAGGAGTGTGTCTATGGGAATGTTTAACCATTCTTCCAGAAGTCCATTTGTGAGGTCAGGCACTTATATTGAACAAAAGGCCTGGCTCGTAGTCTCCACTCTAATTCATCCCAAAGGTGTTCTATCAGGTTGAGGTCAGGAATCTGTGCAGGCCAGTCAAGTTCTTCCACTCCAAACTCTCTCATCTTTGTCTTTATGGACCTTGCTTTGTGCACTGGTGTGCGGTCATGTTGGAACAGGAAGGGATCATCCCCAAACTGTTCCCACAAAGTTGGGAGTATGAAATTGTCCAAAATGTCTTGGTATGCTGACACCTTAACCACCTCCCATCCGGCCGTTGTATATAAACGGCCGGACGGTGGCAGTGCAGGGGCGGGTGGCCATTTATAAATGGCCTCCCTGCCCCCTGCTTGTGCGAACTCCCTGGGAGCGCACAGCACAGCGATCCGGTGCCTGCTGTTTCCTCCAATCGTCGTACGGGACCTCTGTGCGACGTCCCGATCATGTGATCACTGATTGGCCAATCAGTGATCACATGCAGAGTAGTAAGAAAGATGTCACTTGTGACATCATTGCTTACTACGTGTGAAATCTGTGAATGATCACAGAGGTCACATGGTACAAGGCTATTCACAACAGCCTTGTACCATGTGACAAGCTGTGACCAATCACAGCTCACACAGTATTTCTCAATGGCTGCAAGAATGCAGTTAGAGAGAAGGAGAAATGACTGCTTTTACCGTCGTTGTGGGTGTAAAAGCAATCAGTGTAAAAGAAAAAAAAATCTTCATCACCTCCCACCATGGTGACACTATACTGCTAGGGTGAGAGTATGTAAAAAAAACAACATAAATAATAATATAAACAAAATAAAAATGTAAAAAAAAGTTTTACAAATTATAATCTTTGGTTATAAAATAATTTGGGTTATTTTTTTTTACTAAAAAGATAATTGAATACATTTTGGCCATGATTTATGATGAAATATTATTTATTTGCAATATTTTATAAGAAAAACACATTTTTTTTCAAATGTTTTGGACTTTTTCATTTATATAGCAAATAAAAAAAATAAAATATACCACCAAAATAAAGCCTTGCCTGTCTCAAAAAAATGCTAAAAAATTCATATGGGTACAGTCTTGCATGGCCACGCAATTGTCATTCAAAATGTGATAACGCTGAAAGCTGAAAATTGGCCTGGACAGGAAGGGGGTGAAAGTGTCTGGACTTGAAGTGGTTAGGAGTTCCCTTCACTGCAACTAAGGGGCCAAGCCCAAACCCTGAAAAACAACCCACACCATAACCCCTCCCTTCCACCAAACTTTCACTGAGCTCCTGAGAGCGACCCATTCTTACACAAATGTTTGTAGTAGTCTGCATGCCTGGGTGATTTACACACACACACACACACCTATATACTGTGTGTGTGTGTGTGTATATATATATATATATATATATATATATATATATAATTGGACAAAAAAATTAAAGGAGCTCTTTGAAAACACATCAGATCTTAATGGGGAAAAATATCATGCTGGATATCTATACTGATATGGACTGGGTAGTGTGTTAGAAAAATAAGGATGTCCCATTGTTTGATGGAAATGAAAATTATCAACCTGCAGAGGACTGAATTCAAAGACACCCCGAATATCAAAGTGAAAAATGATTCAGCAGGCTAGTCCATTTTGCTGAAATTTCATTGCTGCAACTCAAAATGGTGCTCAGTAGTTTGTATGGCCCCCACGTGCTTGTATGAATGCCTGACAATGTCGGGGCATGCTCCTAATGAGATGACTAATGGTGTCCTGGGGTATTTCCTCCCAGATCTGGACCAGGGTATCACTGTTCTCCTGGACACTCTGAGGATGTCGGGCCATCAGGCCACCCTCATGAAGTCTGTTTTTGATTGTTTGGTCAGATACATTCACACCAGTGGCCTACTGGAGGAGGTCATTTTGTAGGGCTCTGGCAGTGCGCATCCTGTACCTCCTTGCACAAAGGAGCAGATACTGGTCCTGCTGATGGGTTAAGGACCTTCTACGGCCCTGTCCAGCACTCCTATAGTAACTGCCTGTCTCCTGGAATCTCCTCCATGCTCTTGAGACTGTTTTGGAAGACACAGCAAATCTTCTGGCAATGGCACGTATTGATGTGCCATGCTGGAGGACTTGGACTGCCTGTGCAACCTCTGTAGGATCCAGGTATCGTCTCATGCTATAAATAGTGACACTGACCCTAGCCAAATGCAAAACTAGTGAAAAGCAGTCAGAAAAGACGAGTAGGGGAAAAAAATCTAGTGCATCTGTTGTTAATTTCATTAACACCAAAGCAGCTGAAACGGATTCACAACCCCCTCTGCTACTTAACTGACCAGATCAATATTTCAGGAGTATAATTGAATTTATGCTATACTCTGATTAAAAAGTGCTCCTTTAATTTTTTTGAACAGTGTATATATGGTTTCTTTCACAAAATGCTTCTCATTTGGGGATTAATGCAATGTAATTTGGATATCTGTTGTGCTGTTTAATATGTGTTTTGTAAAATTTCACAGAGATTAAATGGATAAATTGAACCAATATAGCACCGATCTTTCACCTGTGGCACTTCCATCATAGCTACTACTTTTAACATTTCATTTTTTAAATTCTACAGTTATATAATTCTGTGCTTGACTCTTACAAGACTCTCCAAGATAATTACAGGCATTGTGCCACAAGGAGCATACATATCACCTTCATTCATATCTTCAATTTCAGACATATGAGATTTATTATTTTCTTCCAGCTGGATCTTCCCTGTATAATTGAGGTGAACCAGCCAAGTTCAGGAACAATCACAGAGACTGACTCATTGGCAACCAATAGGTCAAGTGCTCATCTTTCAGCACAGGCTCCATCTGGGGTTCCTAAGGTATTTTATTGTTCTGCACAACACATACTGTATACAGTATACTATCGCATAATATAAGTACTTTTTTTTACGTAATCAGGTAAAGCTTTTGTGCAAGGATAGAAATGTGAGAACTACCGTTGCAGGCTTTTGAAGGTGCATTACCCAGCCATGTTATATGTATCATTCCTTTACTATAAGTAAGGGACCCAAAACAAGAATGTCTACAGTGAAGTAAATAAGCATTTTGATCCCCTGCTGATTTTGAATGTTTGTCCACTCACAAAGAAATGGTCAGTCTAAAAATCGAATTGTAGGTGTATTGTAACACTGAAAGACAGAATAGCAACAAAAAATTCAAAAGAAATGCATGTCTAACAAATTATGCACTGATGTTCATGAGGGAAATACGTATTTGATCCCCTATCATTTAGCAGGATTTCTGGCTACCAGGTGTCTTTCATACAGGTAACAAACTGCGATTAGAAGCAGTCTCTTAAAGGGAGTGCTGCTAATCTCATTGTGTTACCTGTATAAAAGACACCTGTCCACAGGAGCAATCAAACAATCAGATTCCAAAGACCAATCAGATTGGCAAAGACCAAAGAGCTGTCCAAGGATGTCCGGGACAAGATTGTACACAAGGCTGGACTGGGCTACCAAACTATCGCCAAGCAGCTTGGTGAGAAGGTGACAACAGTTGGTGCAATCATTCGCAAATGGAAGAAACACAAAACAACTGTCAGTCTCCCTAGGTTTGGTGCACCATGCAAGATCTCACCTCGTGGAGTGTCAATGATCATGAACACAGTTAGGAATCATCCCAAAACTACATGTGAGGATCTTGTCAATGATCTCCAGGCAGCTGGGACCACAGTCACCAAGAAAACAAATAGTAACACACTACACCAACAAGGAAAGAAATCCTGCAGTGCCTGCAAGGTCCCCCTGCTCAAGAAAGCACATGTCCAGGCCCGTCTGAAGTTTTCCACTGAACATCTGAATGATGCAGAGGAGGACTGGTTGAAATTGTTGTGGTCAGATGAGACCAAAATTGAACTCTTTGGCATCAACTCAACTCGCCATGTTTGGAGGAGGAGGAATGCTGCCTATGACCCCAAGAACACCATCTCAACTGTCCAACACGATGGTGGAATAATTCTGCTTTGGGGGTGTTTTTCTGCTAAGGGGACAGGACAACTGCACTGCATCAAAGGGACGATGGACGGGGCAATGTACCGTCAAATCGTGGGTGAGAACCTTCTTCCCTCAGCCAGGGCATTGAAAATGGTCGTGGATGGGTGTTCCAGCATGACAATGACCTAAAACACACGGCCAATGCAACAAAGGAGTGGCTCAAGAAGAAGCACATTAAGGTCCTGGAGTGGCCTAGCCAGTCTCCAGACAGTAATCCGATTGAAAATCTGTGGAGGGAGCTGAAAGTTTGAGTTGCCAAACGTCAGCCACCAAACCTTAATTACTTAGAGAGGATCTGCCAAGAGGAGTGGGCCAAAATCCTTCCTGAGATAGTTTCAAACCTGGTGGCAAACTACAGGAAACGTCTGACCTCTGTGATTGCCAACAAGGGATTTCCCACCAAGTACTAAGTCATGTTTTGTGAAGGGCATCAAATACTTATTTCCCTCATGAACATGCAAATCAGTGCATAATTTGTTAGACATGCATACCTGAATTTTTTGTTGCTATTCTGTCTCTCAGTGTTACAATACACATACCATTCGATTTTTAGACTGATCATTTCTTTGTGAGTGGGCAAACATTCAAAATCAACAGGGGATCAAATACTTATTTCCTTCACTGTATATTAGATGTACTGTATAATAGCTGATAATAATTTCATGTCCCAGGCCAATGACTCACCAAGTAGTGAATGAAAAATAAATATGTCAGCCTTGCAAGCACCTTCAAAAACAAGTCAACCCCCTTTTTTTTAAGCTGTCAGGTTAATTTTAACTGTCAATGTCACTGCATTCAGTGTAGTCAGTTGCATCTACTCTAATCAGGAAAAGGCGCCATTAGTATTCATGCTAATTTTGCACCTGTCTAATGAAAAAATATAGTTTGTTTGTGTTTCGTGAATAAAGCAGATTGCATTTAGATTGGAAATGTGATTCTATTTTTTCAAGAAAATCTCAAGAAGCTGGGTTTCTTAAATTGCTGTGTGTACCCACGGATATATAGCTAGGATCATAATTGCTATTAGGTACAGGTGACCTTGTGCCTACATAAGGATGGATTGAAGAGGCGGGTACCAATATCTATTATTTGTGTTTGCGTTTTTATTTACTTTCTCTGGCCAACAATTGACACCTATTAGGCAAGCAGTAGCACTGAAAGAGATTTGACTCAGGGGCTTCTGAAACATCAAGTCTTTCTACAGCTCCACTAAAACTCAACATCTTTTCTATGCATGCTGTGTGCTGCCATGCCGTGTTTTGCTAGCCTTGTCTTATAGACATGCTCAGCTTTTTGCTCTTTTTCTGCAGTATTTCGGCTGCTAGATGGTGAAAACAAAATGTGGCTATGAAACAAAGTAAACAGTCAGATGAGTCTCATAGAGAATTCTGGATTTTATTTAAATTCAGTATACCATCAGTGGTGGAAAATAAATGGAGACTTTAAAGAGGATGCCATCATTCATATTTGCATATGGCCTCACAATGTCTAAATGCAGCAGCCAAGACTAGGACAGCTTGTAATGGATGAAAAAAACAGGATAGACCATTTTATCTCAGCCAGCATCTGCAAACTTATGGGAAGTGTGTGGGTTACAAAGTCACTGGATTGAGGCTAGCTTTTTTTAGATCCACATGTCATAACACAAAGATTTTTATATAAAAAAAAAATAAAATAAAATATACTGTAATTTTCAGGCTCCAGCAAAGCCCTCTGATATGGGAAAAAGCCAAAGGCAAAAGAAGCCCAAAGATGCTAAACCAAAGGTTAAGAAGCTCAAGTATCATCAATACATTCCACCAGACCAGAAGGCTGACAGGTCTCCGGTTGCAATGGATGCTGCCTACTCTCGTTTGCTGCAACAGCAACAGATCTTCCTTCAACTTCAAATCCTCAACCAGCAACAGAACCAAACTTTCTGTGTGCAGACAGTTCACCCTCTAGCTACAAGGTACAAAATGAATTAATAATCTGCAGTGGGAATATCTTTAAGTGTAAAAAAAAAATTTTCAAAGCACAATGACCCAAATTATGAGTATCTACCTTTTTTTGTTTCCCAGTATTTCAGCAGATCAAGTGATTAGCTTCACAGGAGCAGCACCTGCTGGTACATCCACCTTAAATATCTCTCCCCCATCTGCTACAGCAGCCATGCCAACTGTGCCAAATTCAACCACCACCTCTCCTCTGAAACCAGAGTTTTTACCAGCAAACCTGGATGATCTAACAGTAAGTGGGATTATTTCAACTTCCTGCAAAGTATATTTAAACACCAAAACAAAAGTGTTATATACGTCAGCTTACCAGTCCTTTAGATGTGTTGGCTACATTTATAGTGTCTCCTCTGACACACTTGATTGAACGAAAGTTCCTGCAAGCACTTATAAGAACAGAAGTATAGATACCTTTGACTTGGCTGTGAATCGGCACCAGGAAATAGATATAAGACTGTTTAGTGGTAAATGAACTCAATGTATTGGAATGGGTTAATACAAATGATGGTTTGTGCATAAATGAACACACAGAAGTAGGTTCAGACAGAGTCCACTAGACAGTATAACCACTATACCAAGGTAACTTAGAGTAGAGTTCTTTACCACTAGACTGGAAATAACTCATTGTTAAATACCTGGTCAAGGCTGAGCTCACAAGAGGGCTTTCCCTTACATTTCCTGTCCTGTTTCTCCTGGAGGTGTTGATAGGATATAACAGGGCGCAGAGTGGCAAGGGTGCCTTATAGGAAATCCTGGCCAGAAGACACTTGCTGCATCTGTAGAGCAGCAGGCAGACTGATAAGCTGGATAATGTGAAGACACAGCAGCAGGTGCAGAACCACAGGCAGCAAGCAAGCTGGCAAGAGGGCAGATGTAGGATCTTGGGCGGTCAGGCAGGAGTCGGTATCAGCTGGGCAGCAGAGTTGCAGAATCAGGAACCAAAACAGAGTCAGAGCAGGGAAGGTACCAAAACAGCAGACAGAAAGCAGGGTCAGGTCACAAGCCAGAATCAGCAATGGGGTATTAGGAACAAGCAGGTTCAAGACAAGCCAGGTAATTACAGGGTCAGGCTACAAATGGAAGAAGCTGATAACCACTCAGCAATCCTCTGGTCTCTGGAGCCACTTTAAATAGGCAAGTGAGAGCCAAGTATTCATGCTCACTCACGATAATGTGCATGGGCACGCTCGCAAGTCAGGGCATGTCTAGTTGTCACTCGAGAATTATTATGAGCATGCGCACATCTTTACCCATGAATCAGCAAAGTCAACAGTGCACATTTACATTAACTACAATGTGAATATTGAACTCAGTCTATTGAGCTCTTCCTGCTCAGCAGCTCCCTCCTCTTGCTGATATAGCTATTAGCCAGTTCAGCATTGCAGGACAGCAGTTCCAGAAATCAGCTGCAGCCAGTGTTTCTCTCACTCTCCATTCTTAGCCAAGCACCTGACTACAAATGTCAATGACGATAGTTGGCACAGGCAGAGAGCACAGTATGTTATCAGCTCACAGGATTTCTGGGAAGTTCAACAGGTATTTTTTAATTCAGACAGAATGCAATCTGTCTGAATGAGGCCTATATTTCACTACAATAAAAACACTTTTAACAGAGTAGAAAGGTTTGGAATCTATTTCAGATCTTTATTGCTGCATGTGTTTCCACTGAGAAGATTTCCCTTTACTTCATGACTACTTTGTCCAAAACTAAAACATAGTTTTAGCTGAAGCTGTGCTCTGGATATCAGTGTTGAATTTGTAATGACATATGACCTAAGTGTATAAAACTTGAGTGTATATCTAGTTATCTAAGTTTAAATGTTGGACCCATTTTGGAAGGTGTGTGTTTTCACTGGCTAGGATAGGACAGTAAAGCAGAGTCTTGTCTCTTAATATACAATATTTAAGCTTGTACGTTCATGTTGACTTAGTATTACATCTAATATTAGAAAATCATTTGAAGTAGAACACTAGAAAAAAACCTAGACTGTCATTTTTGCTTTCTGAGTAATTTTATGTGGAAGAAGTGTCAGGAAAAAAGATATTCACATTTACTAATACTAATTTTTACCAGAGTCAAAAGCTTGAAAAAGAAGTCAGTAAAAGGAGGTTCCTATATTCCTGTAAAATAGACCTGTCTTACATATTATTAGTAAATAGGCTCCAACACTGCAAGTGGTATCTGCACATACATTCTGAAAATGTCTCTGCAGATTGGGAGCACAGAATCCTTGGTTGCAGTAATCAAGAAATCTCAGTCTTTTCTGGTATTGTAAATGCCTAGCCTTACATCTTTCTATTGGCTCATTAGGCCACACCATCATAATGATAGGCTGATTCTTACTTTGGTATACTTACATCATTCTAACTTGTCATATTTCTTATGTACTGTCCTTACCTTTAAACAATCATAACTTGTGATAAAAATCACATAATTATACAAAGATATTCTTTCATGTACTTTTTGTAAGGTGTCAGAACTTCGCCAACATCTTAGGAAAAGAGGACTTCCTGTTTCAGGCACAAAACCAGCATTACTGGAACGCCTTAGGCCATACCAGATTCCACGTGCCAAGACCATTCCAGCTCCCATCCAAAGTGCAAGTTTGATAACCCCAGTTATTGAAATTCCTTCCTTTCAAAATCCTTCGTCATGTGACACCACTGCTGCCCCTCTTTGCACCTTCCGAACTTCTCCTCCTCCAGCTCCTGCTGAGGGTCTTCCTGAGCCATCAGAAACACCTACCAATGTCAAAGAAAGTCCTGAAACACAGACAGGAAGTCAGGACAAAGACATGGTGATGCAAGTAATAGATGATGACCAAGTCCTTCTAGAAAAGCAAAAAGTGATTGAAAATTTGACATGGAAGTTACTACAAGAACAGAAACAGGCAGAAGACCTTCGAGTGGAACTAGAGATGCACAAACGCTTAAAAAATCGGCGGAAGAATGAGAAACTAAACCCCAGAATAACAATTAAAAAAGAGATTGATGAATGTATAATAACCTCTTGTGCAAAAGCACAGACTGAAGACACACAGTTTTTGTATACTCTAAATAATGATAGAACAGAACTACCACCACCAGTCCAGGAGCAACTGATGAGCCCAGACGTTAATGAAAACTACATGGTGAGTAAATAGCATGTATCTTTACAGTGCATTCTCATTACATGTGTATTGCTATATATTCTGTTTTAAGTAATGGGTTTAAATGCAAAACTACTCACTGAGTCAACCAACTTGACATATTCTTTAAAGAGATTTTATAGTCTTTCCCTACCCACATGCTGAATTGAATTTTTTTTTCTATCATCTCATTCTATGGTGTTCTACTTTAAGGATGGGGCATAGAGGTCATGGTGATTTGTAATGTTATAGGACCTCTTAGAGCTTATGAGAGCCAATCTTGACTGTTCACATGAAAGGATAAGCATGAATTTTTTTCTTGTAAGATAAAAGAATGAATGATATTAGTTGAATCAGTATAGTATTTGTCCATAAAAAATTGAGTGACCAAGACTGTGCATTTTCTGAAATAAGAAAACAAATTGGAAGAGAAAAATGGCAATGAAAACAAGCTTTGTATACAAAGAAAATGTTCCTAAACATGAAAAAATATATTGTTTTGGAGGACAGAAATATGTTTAATTGAAATAATGGAATGATAATTCTATTGCTATAAGTTTTGGTTATAATCTGCAGATCTTTTAAAAAATATATATATACCCTGTAAATATTATTTTTTATTATAATGTTGATATTATTTTCGATTACACCATGGCACATTTGATATGAGACTAGCATGCAAAAACCCTGAATGATCATTCATAAGATTTTACTTATCGTGTGTGCCAGGCATTAAACTTTGAGTCAACAGACATTCTAGTAGTAAAAAGACTTATAGCAATGCTTATTTTTGTGCAGCAATTGAATTAATCTATATCCTTCCAAAAGCAATGACCTTCTGCCTCTTGGAACTACTAAACATCAAAACTGTCTTTCTCACTTTTCCTGCTGGGAACTTGGGGCACTGAAAGTTACAAAGTACTATCTATTTAGTCATGGAATGACCTAACATACGTTGGTTATCAATCTCCCAGGTTTTCCCACCTTCTACGTGCGAAGTAATCGGACAAGATTTCGAGCTTCCAATGCAGATCACGGCAAGTCCTGAAAATCCAGTACAAAAGCCTCGCTCCTTTGAGGAAGAACTACAGGAAGCTATACAAAAAGCACAAGTATGTGGTTCATTGAAAATTCTACATCTGCTTCATGGTATTATATAATGACAACCTCTAAGTAAATTGTCTATTTTTTCATAGATGGCCATTACACATTCAATTGAAGATATATTAGAAGAACCTTTACTCCACACAGGTTAGTTTTTAATAATTTAAAATTAAGTTTAAAGCAACTCTCAGAAGGTTTTCCAGATATTTGCTCTGCATATACTATGTAATGTAAGAATCAGTTGAGAACTAATTTCTCAGCTTAGGTTTTGGCTCTGTTAAGCACCAGCTTTAAAATTTCCTACTGATTCATAAGGGAGTACTTCCCAGATATCTCTGACATCTTACTGCACTATACAAGTGAAACAGTCTCATCCACCCTCTGATGGAATGTCTCCAGAATATTTAAAGAAAAAAATATATAATAAATAAATAGTATATATATATTATTTAGAGAGAGAGAAATTAGTATGGTTCATAATACCTCATTGTTTAGCATAAAGTCAAGCCAACACTCAAAGTAACAGCAGCAAGGAGGGTATATCCAAGGGTATTACATCAAAATCCCAAACACAAATCATTATCTCAAAATCTCAATGTTACCGCCCCCTTATGTGCCACTTTAATGTGAGAGCTGCAGGCATCCTTTGTGTGTAAAAGGTGGCAAAACAACATTCATTCACCTGATGGGTGACTATGTGTTACAAATTGCAGATGTTATGTTTCCATGGTCACCTGCCTGACCCCAACCTGCTGATTGGGCAATGTAGGAACATCAGCACCCTGAAGTGGTTATCCCTGTGCTCTCCCCTCTCATACATTTCCTCCCATCCTTAACTGACAGCACTGTGTAAAGCAGTAAATTCTGCTTGTCTCATACTGCCAGCCCCCTGTCTCTTACTTGGCCCATTTTTATTTTCATATACATTGAGCCCTGCTTAAATAAATATAACACTGGTCTAAAAGCTGTTTTATATTCTCCTGACATTCAGTTTAATAGAAACCTGTCAGAAAAGAAATATGGGAGTTGCTATTACTGATGTGTTTTTGAACGTGCACATTCCAGGTCATCTTTATCCGATCTTCACTACTTGGTGAGTCAATGACTTCCAACAATCATGCGTATATCTGGACCAATCACATGCTTCCTGGGGGTTCAGTGACTCATAAAGGGGAAAAATAAGGATAATGATGATAGCCCTGAACACCAAACAATAAGAACAAGTTAGTAATGGCAGCTCAAACATTTTTACCCTGACAGGTTCCATTTTAGAAACCAGTGGTGCCTACACTTAATGGTACTGCCCAGAAAATGAAAAATCAATTTTGTGTTGGCTAATGTTTTATCACCTAGTAATGACGGAATTTCAGAGTATTTTTAGAGTCAACCTCAATCTTTACACAAATTTTTCATTTAGGCTGAACTTAACATCTCTGCTGCTTTAAGTGAGAATTTATGTTTTAGAGCATTGTCTCCATTTTGCATTTCAGATGAATTAATGCATGTCGACAATGACATGGTGGATACCCTAAAGCCAGAAAGTGATCTTCAAAATACATATGCAGCTCAAAATAGGAATTTCACAAAGCAAGTTCATTGCTGTATGGATGCTCAACCACCTCCAACTGTTCCCAGTTCTACAATTCTGGAGTTTCCAGTGTCTGGGAATTATGATTTCCTGTCTGGCCAGGATAGCTTCTCAGTTATGTTCTCTCCTGATCAGATTGAAATGCCATCTTCACCAGATCATCCAGAAAACATGTCCCCATCATCCTCTTCTTCCTCATCATCTTGTGCTCCATTTGATCCAGCGGACTGGCTTGAAGCACTGACGTCAGGATCCACTTCCAACTTTGGACCTGGTAGTCCCATGAATTCAAGTATATTTTCCACTGACATTTTCGACTCTCCAGACTTAAGTATTAACAGAATGATCGATTTAATGGTGGAACAGTGGTAATTGAAGAATTAGAAATGGACAAAAGATAGCAACTAAAATACACTCCTAAGTAACCAATAAAGAAAGATAATCTTTCTTTTGCAATAGTTTTTGCTAGTTGGAATAAAAGGGGTGAAATGTGTTGTCAAAACTCAGGACATATGATAGGTGAAAATGAAAAAGATCAGGTCCCATCCGCTTCCTGTAGAAAATATCTTGGCTGCACTAATACAGAGTAGAGGTGATTACTGTTTAGGAGGATTCACTTTTGCTTTTGATCATGTCTCCAAAACAAAAAAATGTTCATTGCATACATTTCCACCTGTAGAGGAAATACAGTGTTTAATGCCACTAATATAACATCTAATGATATTAGATAGAATGATAATATGATAATGATATTTAAAAACCAACATTGTCTTACCTTATTAACTGTGAAATACAACTACTTTTTGAACAAATTAAAAGCAAATTGTAAAACATTTTACATTACCAGCATTTCCATGACAGTTTGTGAATAGTATATCAGGGCACACATTAAACAGTACACAGATTATAGGGGGTCTATTTATAAAGCAAATAATGTAGCTTTCACCAGACATGCTCTGTCATTTAAAACACATGTACCTGGATTATTCACCTGCTGTGTTTGGTAAATGTCAGATTCACTGTTTTATAAAGATGTCCTCAGGTGTCATTTAACAGGAAAAAACTGTTGCATTTCAACATGGAGTAAAATCAGTTGTTCAATGACTGTAATCTTTATTGACCAAAAACAATCATTTTTGGTCAGTTAGTCAAAGAAAAGAAACTGGATATGGATGATCTCAGATGACAATTTACCTTATGTGTATTATTTATAACAGTACACAAATTTTATATCTGTACTGTTTTTTTTTTTTTTTGCTTATTGTAATAGTGTTAATATACAGGTGAAATACATATCTGCTATATGTATTCTATGAGATTATCACAGAGATCATAAAATTAGGACCTAGTTCCAAACAAAATATTAGAAAGGTCGGTAAGGTTCTGTTATTCTGTAACCTATAGCATCCAATCATATACCAGCTTTTAGGAAGGAAGAGTAGCAGGGCTGTGATTGGTTGCTGTTTGTGATTGCACAATCTGAATCTTTAAGCAATCGTATGAGGTAACATCCAGTATATTTTGATTAGATGGCTCCTTAAAGGGGACTGAAAATGACAGGTAAAGCTTTTGTTGCCAAAGGCGACAGAAGCATCAGGAATGTTCTTGTAGTGTGTACTGGATAGCACAATTTTGGTTTGTATGAAGGATGTAATATGGATGTAAGCTGCCTGACAGGTATACAAGTTTAATTCATGGTTTTACAAGCTACATGAACATAACAAAGGCCTCATCATCATTGTTGATCATGTGCAATTGCGATGAGTAGTGTTTTGGTGCATTACATAGAAAAGATGTTACCTTTGTATTTGAACTGCATGCAGCAGACCTCAATTTTCAAAATGTCTTTCCAGGATCCTAGTAGTAGGTTACATCGAATCTCCACAGGGAAGAATCTGGCTGACACAGAACATTTCACTTTGATACCTGAGGCATCATGAATGTCCTCAAGGTAAGCCTTGTATTTTTAGCAAACTATGACATGCAATTCCACAGAAACGTCTTTGCTGTATGGAGTAATACATGACTAACACAACATGGGCCATGTGACATCTGTCATCTATTGAATATCACTCATTGTGTATAGCCTACATGTTGAGGTTCACAAGGGCTTTATATGGCAAGGGCATTCTGATTCAGACAGGTCACTGTGGGAACAAGATGGGTAATATAACAGCATACAGTACATGTAAACTAACATACATTATTTTCATGACCTTTGCAATTACCAATATGAATTATGTGGCAAGATGGCATTACATTAGATAACCCCAGCTGTTTGGTGTTATCCTCAATTCACTGAATCACAGTCTTATTTATTATATAAATAAGGACAATTTTAGAATATTTGGATGAGGATCACAATTGTCCCATGTCTTCTAGCTTACTTAGCTTTGCTGCTCAGCAGGGACCTAATGCATTTTCATTGTTAACCTTTCAAAACTAATATAAAATGCAAATATCAACCAGTTACAAAGGATATCCTGTTCAGAAGAAAATCAACAATCTGATTCTGATGTAGTAAGACAGAAGGGTCCACTTCCCATAACACCTATTTAGACAACAGCAGGATCTTTGGCCCACTGTTGATTACCAATACATTGAAAACCACTGGTGCATAAGGCTCTACTCTGAATCATTAGGTCTTATTCCAATATTGGCCATCAGGTAGCACCGCTGGAAAAAAAAGTAATTGCACTTCCCTAATTAGACAACGCATTGTAACAAATATGGATTTCTTTAGTTCATTAACGTGAAGTTATCCATGTAAAAAATAATATACACATACACAAACCTAAAACACAAGATTGTTTAGCAGAGTACGGTGCTATTCAACCGTGCTGAGACTCACTGTATAACTGCAATATATCACTCTTTACAAAACAGCTTCTCAAATATATCTGTATTTCTGTTAAGCTGATTAAACTGTAAAAAAACTTCAGTTGCTTAAATTGTTGCTAGAGCTTTAACATAAGGTAATAAATTAGGCTTTTAAATTTTAAATATACTGTCATTACAATAGGGGGGTTATTTATCATTGAGAGCGAATACTGCCATAACGCTGCACAGAATACTTTATGATGCTTTGACACTTCAGGTGACTGAACTCTTTCCCCCCCCCCCAACTTTATTTTCTCAAAATAAATGGATGTCCTGCAGCAAGAAAAGCAGAGAACATTTTTGAAAATCACAATGCTGTGTATGTGTGTGTATGTGTATGTATATATATATATATATATATATATATATATATATATATATATATATAAAAAATATACACACACACACACAAGAGCTGTTCAAGTCAAACCGGGACTTTTGAGTTTATATATTAAAAGAAGACATTTCAAGAAGTGGAAACTGCATTTATTTTTATACATACTCCCCTGATACATTTATACACCCATCCCAGTGTTTAACTAACACTTGGATAACTTCAGTATAGAAAGATTTGTCAGTATGCCTGACTCATCCTAGGCCAGCCTGCTTCACTTTGTCATCAGTGCTGAAATTCTGACCTCCAAGTAACTCTTTTAGGGGTCCAAACAGGTGGAAATCCCTTGGAGCGAGGGGAATGTGGCAATACCTCCCAGCCAAGTTGCTGTAATGTGCACGTAGTGTGGTGAGCAGTATAAGCTTGTGCATTGTCCTGGAGAATCAGGACGCCCTTAGCAGATACGTATGTATAACACCTCTGTGCTGGTCAAAAGTGGAAAGCTGTGTTGGTACCCAGTGTGCGCTAACTTTTCAAAAATGCAAATGTTCATAAATGATTGCGTTTACCGTTCACACAGAAAGATTTGTCTCCTGTGCAAATTCACGACAGGTCGTGTATCGATTATCCAGGATCAGGTGTTCCACGCGCTGAATGTTCACAGGAATGACTGCTGTGGGTTGGGAACCACCACGGCCAGGATCGGCACTGATGGACATACGGCCATCTTTGAAATGTTTACTCCATTCAAATGTCTTACTGCAGCTGAGTGTCTCATCACCGTACTGTGCTTGAAGATTTCTGTAGATATCCATGGGTTTTACGCCTTCGCTCACAAGAAACTTCTGTGACATGTGCGCCGCCTATCAATAATAGGACACACTTGCCACTTATGTACAGTACCACCATGCTAGTACCCCTTTTTATACTTGTAAAATTTGAATTCCTGGTTTGACTTGAACGCCCCTTGTACATACAGTATATAAACCTGTAGTTATCACTGTACACATATTTGAGAAAGAATGGGCCCAGGTGCTCAGCAAAGCATGATGTATATACAGTGTAATCCAAAAGGTTGCTTTCAAGGGGCTTGAAAGGTGAACACATTTGGACCAGGCACAAACTCCTGAGGAAGTCAAGCTTGTGCCTCATTGAAAAAAACTCATCAGTGAGTGTTCACCTTTCAAGCCCTGTGAGTGCCACCTTATCTTTGGATTTTATATATATATATATATATATATATATATATATATATATATACACACACACAGTATATCAGAAAGCAAAATATCTCTGTGAGGATCCTCCGATGGTAAGCTCTTTAACTTCATTGCCACAACCAATTCTGGGACAGTACAGCTAAATGTTTTCAACTGAACTGCAAATCAGCCACAAAGTAAAAGTATGGTGGCTTTAATTCCAATGTCCTTATATAGGTATTCTATCTGCACAGCTGCAGTATGTAAAAGCAGAAATTGCTAAATGAAAATTTCCTTCCACAAATCATTTTGTAATAGGGCACTAGAGTAAGAAAAAAAGCAGCAAAGAGGAGAAAGGTTTTGATTTTCTATGAATAGGTAGCTGGTTAATAATTTTTTTCAGTAGCATCTATAGTCAAAAACTTGATGACTCCTGTATGCCTTTTCACACACGTGGTAAAGGGGCAGTAAAAAACATGTGGTTGATCTGTGTTTCACTGCCTCCTTAGTGTCCTCCTATAAAATAACATGGTGACAGCTCAGGTCTGTCCACATTATGGTGACAGCTCAGGTCTGTCCACATTATGGTGACCAAGATGATTTGTGGTGTGGCAAATATAACTTTTCTTGCTGCATTTGTATAAGTGCCACTTGTCAACCATGCCCATTAAAATAAATGGAACCACGCCATAAACATGGGCCAACTGATGCAAGATCTACCTTGAGATAAAAAAAACAGGCATTGAAGAAGTGGCCTGAATACCTGTAAACTGGCTCCAAACCAACATGGATCACTTTTCAGTGTTGTGCTTAGAACTTTACGCAAGCATCTAAATATACAGCTGCAACTCACACACATATATAAAAATCCTTAAGTCAGTGGTGCTCATTCTTTTAAAGGTCTCATGCATTAGAATGAGATTTTTCAGTCAGTCTTTTATTGGGACTCAATATGTATG